AACCTACAAAGCAGATATAATTAAGTCAATCTTCTTGCTTTTGATGTACAAAATGGAAAAAATTAAGTTTGAAACTGGGTAAGAGTCTTTGCTACTGCAGACAACTTGAAAAGAAAATTCTACTAGAACATACAGGAAGCGATTACAATAAGTCTTTTGAGTTTCTAAACTATTTCAAACTGAAAATATCTTCGGTAGTAGGAGACAATTGTGAAACAATAGAAATTCTCTGAAAGTACTAGTAGTTCTTTTAACTAATGCATCAAAAAAAAAAATCCTTTAAGTTTTCTCTACTAAGGAAGGTTTTCCCTCGCAAAAGTTAACCCTGGGACCCAGGAACAACAACAACAACAACAACAACAAAAAAAAGGGCACGGGGAGAAAAAAAGACTAGCTGTAGCACTAGTAAGTAGAGATAACTAGGAAGAATTCATAGGGAACTGACCTTGTAGAAGTGATGAGATAACCTAGTGTAAGTATTTAGTGTAGAACATGAGTCACCATAAAGACATAATTACAACAAGACAGAAAGAAAATACTCACCTAACACAACGTGAGAGCCAGAACTATACTTTTTTGTCCACTGCTCTAAAATATACTTCAAATTAAACTCACTCTCTTTATGTATTTTCAAGGAACATATTGAGTTGCTCTTCAGTGCCTGGAAGACAAAGTAAAAAGTAGTATGTTCTTCCAATAAAGCAATAACTGTACTAATAAACTCTAATAAATACTATATCTTATTAGTATCTAGCATATCTTAGGTACTGTAAAGGGCACCAAGGGAAAGAAGTTAATGAAATTTAGGTTGCTTATATGAAAAAAAGAAAATTGAGATTATGGAGATTAAGTTTATTAGTTTCCTATATAAAAAGAAAAGTAATAAAACTCAGGTTCCTATGGATTAATAAATTAAACAGATGTTTAAGAAAGTACAAATTCCATTTCAAGCTTTGCCCATCATTAAGGTGTCCTCTTATTCTAAGTGGATTCCATCATCTAACAACATGCAGGCTCATGTTTCAGTCTCTCAGAAAAAGCACTAAAACCCCCTAACTAATTACCTACACCTAGCTTGTGTCAATGGAGTATTCTCAAAAGGCTTTATGTATATGTCAAGTTCAAGGTTCACAAATTAATCACTACAAAAACCTCGGTTATTTGGTAAACTGGCATATCTAACGAACTAAGTTAACACTTAAAATATTTTTCTAGACCATTTAAGATATTTGAAGTTGGTGTACACAACGATTACTACAAAAAGCTTCAATACTTCTTTAGCATCAACAAATGCTCATTTGTGTGGTGGTGAGGTTGGTTTTGGTATGCTTGAAGAAATTAACCCTCAAGTATTCAAGGAAAAGTTGTTAGAAAGTCACGAGAGAAAACCAGATTTGCTTCCATTAACAATAGTCAAAACCTAAACGTTTCAGATACACCAACATTACATAAGAATCCTTGTCCTGTCCACGACAGTCCTTTTTGTCACCCGGTGTGGGCCTTGATAGGTTCAGGTAATGACAAATCTGACTAGAGCATGTTAGAACAAGTTTGTTATAAGCATTTATTATATTAGTTTGATAGTCGCTGCTCACAATGTCGATTTATTTGCTCTCAAAGTTGTTGTGCTTATTCTGAGTCATGCTATGTAACACCTTACGTTTAACACATATTCCTTGTTGTGCTGTTTATCATCTCTGAGAGCTGGGTCTAGGTTATCATTGTGCTGTATGTACCTTGTAACAGCTAATCTGGTATTTGTACTCAACATTGCCATCATGGCTGTACTTTGGGAGCCATCATCTCAAACAAAATGATTACATTTCCTACCTTTTCTCCCCAGGAGAGCAAATTTACAGGGGAGACACCTTCCCACCCTCCCCTTCTCCCCCACACTAGTTACAATAGCTCTTGAAAATGTTGAATATGTTTGCAATGTTCAAACCAGCATGTTCCTGTTGCTCCTACTCCTGAATGCGTTTCAGGTCTTGTTTAAAAGTTAAACAATTTAAAAATACCACCCCATCTGCAGGCACACTGCAGCCACTCCTGCCAATGGGCACCACAGAGAACCAGAGAACCAACCCATGCCTATAAACAAGAAGAAATGAACACTAAAGTCAGCTCGTTTAGTAAAGGATGATGAAGGGTCATCACAAGAACAGGAGGAGGATACAGAACCAGAGATAACTACCCAACTCCTACCCCCGAGTGAGCTGTGAGACACGTGAAAAGACTTCAGCCACCGTCCAGGCAAGCACATGGTCACCTGGCTGCTCTGATGCTGGGATAACAGGGCCAGTAGCCTGGAATTAGAGGTTAGGGAAGCCAAGCAGCTGGGATTCCTGTCTAGGGAAGGAGGCATTGACATGACAATTGGAAAAAAGACACAAGCCCTCAGCTTCTGAAGGTGACTCCTGTCTGGCATGAAGGAAGACTATCCCTTCAAGGTAGATGTTATATGTCACCCAGGCAAATGGACCAGCATGGAGAGAGGTATCCAGTATCTGAAGAATCAGCTGCAGTAGAGGTGATTTATAATGAACCAGAAAACACAGAACCAAATGGAAGTCCAGCGCACAAAACCCATGTGGCTGAAGTTTGTATAGAGCCCATCACCATTGTATGCCAACTCACTGGTAGTAATGTCCTGGAAAGATGAAGAGGGACCAACAGTGGATGAATTGGCTGGACAACTCCAGCCATGTGAAGAAAATCTCTCCGCTTCCCCATGGGCCTGTGTCTTGGCTGTGTTAAAACTATACAAAAAGTCTCATGGAGAGTGGAGACTAACAGCAGACTATCATGGCCTGAAGTTGTAGAAACTGCTGAAGTAGAAGGTGAATTGAGCCAATTTGCCAAAGTGAAGGCTATCCAGCTAGCTTTAGACATTGCTGACCAAGAGAACTGGACGGTGCTCTGTCTCCGTACTGACTCATGGATGGTGGCAAATGCTCTGTGGGGGTGGTTACAGCAATGGAAGCAAAGCCACCGTAGAGGCAAACCTATCTGGGCTGTCGTGTTATGGCAAGCTATTGCTGCCTCTCTAAAGAATCTGGTTGTGAAAGTATGCCATGTAGATGCCCATGTACCCAAGAGTTGAGTCACTGAAGAACAGCAAAACAACCAACAGGTGGGATCAGGCTGCTAAGACTGAAGTGGCTCGGTGGATCTGGACTGGCAACATGAGAGTGAATTATTTATAGCTTGGAAGGCCCATGACACCTCAGGCCATCAAGGAAGAGATGCAACACACAGATGCGCTCGTGATCAATGGGTGGACTGGACCATGGGCACTATTGCACAGGTTATCCATGAATGTGAAATACGTACTGCAATTAAACAAGCCAAGCAGTTAAAGCCTCTTTAGTGTGGAGAATTATGGTTGAAATATAAATATGGAGAGGCCTGGCAGATTGATTACATCACACTCCCACAAAACTGCCAAGGCAAGTGCCATGTGCTCACAATGGTGGAAGCAGCCACTGGATGGCTGGAAACATATCCTGTGCCCCATGCCACCGCTTGAGATAATATCCTGGCCTTTGAAAAACAAGTCTTATAGTGACAGGGCACCCCAGAAAGCATCGAGCCAGATAATGGGACTCATTTCCAAAACAACCTCATAGATTACATCACACTCCCACAAAACTGCCAAGGCAAGTGCCATGTGCTCACAATGGTGGAAGCAGCCACTGGATGGCTGGAAACATATCCTGTGCCCCATGCCACCGCTTGAGATAATATCCTGGCCTTTGAAAAACAAGTCTTATAGTGACAGGGCACCCCAGAAAGCATCGAGCCAGATAATGGGACTCATTTCCAAAACAACCTCATAGACACCTTGGTCAAAAAGCATGGCACTGAGTGGGTGTAGTATCACATGCTGTATGATGCACCAGCCTCTGGGAAAATCAAACGATAAAATGGACTGTTAAAGACTATACTGAGAGCAATGGGTGGTGGGACATTCAACATTGGGATGCACATTTAGCAAAGGCCACCTGGTTAGTAAACATTAGTGGATCTGCCAATTGAGCTGGCCCTGCCCAGTCATAACTTTCACATACTGTAGAAGAGGATAAGTTTCCCATAGTGCACACAAAGAATATGTAGGGAAGACAGTCTGCGTTATTCCTGCATCAGGCAGAGGCAAGTCCATCCACAGGATTGTTTCTTCTCAAGGACCAAGGTGGGTGATGCGGAGGGTTGGAGAAGTCCTATGTGTGTACCTCAAGGGGATTTGATTTTGGGTGAAAATGGCCAATAATTTGAACTGTATGATACTAATTGCTATATAATACTGTTATGTCGACATTTCTGTAGTTGCTGTATGCCGTATCAAAGATATTACAGTAAGGATCACCCAATTAATGAAGAATAAGCTTTGATGAAACCAAGCAAAGTGCAACAGTGATGGTACCAGAACTGGCTTCAGCATGTAACAATCCAACACCACACACCATCTCTCCTGCCCTGAGGGCTGTTATAACAGATGGAGCCTAAATGCATAGACTAAATGAACTCAATGGACATTTTAGGGGGACAGCCCATAAACTAAGGGAAGGTCATTGGTGTGTATATAGATATCAAGACACGAAAAATGGTGGCAATTAATCGGAATGTATTAGGAAGTGTAGAACCTGGGCATGATGTAGATGGTACAGAATAAGGGGTGGATAGTGTCCTTGTTTCGGCTGGGGTAAAGTTAATTTTCTTCCTAGTAGCTGGTATAGTGCTGTGTTTTGGATTTAGTATGAAAATGATGTTGATAGCAACAACTAAAACATAAATGCTACTTGACACACTGATACTAAGCCAAGGACTTGTCAACTTACCATGCTCAGCCAGTGAGGAGGTGCACAAGAAGCTGGGAGGTGTCCTTGTTTCGGCTGGGGTAAAGTTAATTTTCTTCCTAGTAGCTGGTATAGTGCTGTGTTTTGGATTTAGTATGAAAATGATGTTGATAGCAACAACTAAAACATAAATGCTACTTGACACACTGATACTAAGCCAAGGACTTGTCAACTTACCATGCTCAGCCAGTGAGGAGGTGCACAAGAAGCTGGGAGGGAGCATAGCCAGGACAGCTGACCCAAACCGGCCAAAGGGATATTCCATACCATATAATGTCATGCTCATACAAACTGGAGGGGAGCTGGTCAAGAGGTGGTGATTGCAGCTCAGGAACTGGCTGAGCATCAGTCAGCAGGTAGTGAGAAATTATATTGTGCATCACTTATTTTGTATATTCTATTATCATCATCTCCTCTTCCCTTGCTGTCCTATTAAACGGTCTTTATCTCAACCTGTGCATTTTACCTTCCCCCCCACCCCCCCCGCCCCGCTTCTCCTCCCCATCCCACCAGGGCAGTGGGGAGGAGTAAGCAAGTGGCTGCGTCACACTTAGTTGCCAGCTGGGATTAAACCACAACAATCCTTTAAATATCAAAGGATCTATTCCAGCCTTTGGAAGGGATACATTCCCATGTTTCAGGACTGACATCTCTCTTCCTATGACATCTGAGCAGTCCAGCTACATATCCTTTTGCTATCCCATCCGTGAAGGTATCGCTAAAGGTTTTAATTCTAACATCCTCTTAGCTTGCCTCTTTTAGCAATATCATCCCCACCATCCCCATCACCCTTTCCAGGCTTAAGACTGCTTCCCATCCCTTACTTTGCAGTCAGATCAGATTACACTCCTCCTACTTCGCACTGTTGGAGGACCAGCAAAGAGACAATGAAAGTACAGAAAATATTTTTCTATTACTATAGTTGTGTATTTATTGCTGTAATATCTGAAGAAGGAACTATTGCAGGAAAATTCCTTCTTAGTCTCTACCTCTGAAATGCTGAGTATACAATCCCAAAGGTGGGAAACTGGAGCATGTTCTATTGCAGATGTTATCTTTGAAGCAGTTTTATGCCAGTTTAAGAAAATACCTATTACGCATGCTATCTTCCCCCCGTACCCTATGACTTGAAGCTTAACTAAATCCTAGTAGACTTTCCATAGGATGACAGAAACTGTTTGTTTCAAATCAAAGAAACAGCATTCTACAATTTCAACTACCCCAGAGTAGAAAGCAACAGAACAGAACTTCTTAACACAGTGCCTTAAGTTCCACCCCCCCCATACCACTCCTGGAAACAGTACAAAATAAAATTTAAAAAACCTGACAGAACTTTCACTGGAAAAAAGTCAGTTTGATTCAACTCGAAGTTCAAACCTGAGAGACAGGACATAGTTAAGAATTTAGTAAAGAATGCATTCTATGTCAGACATTCCTGTCAGCTAGGCTTTCTTCTAGTTGGCAGAAGGGTGGGGTTGGGGCTATTTTTAGCAGAAATAATTAACTTCCAAATTCACACTCCTCTCATTCTCAGAAGCCAAGGTATTTTAGTTTGTTATACCTTAACAATTAAAAAAAGCACTTACGTAAGTAAATTTAAATACTTTCTTACCTTATGAACCATTTCTGCTTCATTTACTGAGCTAGTGAATACCAGCACTTTCTGAAGATTACTGTGGGTAAACTCCAGTGTTTTGAGTAACACAGCAGTTCTCTCACTGTTCAGGCAAGGTTGCACAACCTAGAAGTAGATACAAAAAACAGAGGGCTATATGTATTTTACTATATAATTCTTCCTTTTAATAAGCTCTAAGCATTGTTATATAATACCAAAGCGAACCAAATAAATGGTAGCTCCAGTAAGTGGCAGGTCTTCTGTTAACACTTACAGAAAATTCTCTTAGAAGGTATGCATTTAGGACAGCTTCCAGAAGTATCATTAAAATCTATCACAGAATTGAAATCCCATATTAAGATTTTTCATTTATTCAAGTGATTTATCAATCTTTAAGTTTGGCATTTTCAAGTACCTATTAAAAAAGCTTCACACTCCAAAAGCATACTGTACCACCTGAAATACTCTTAACTAAAGCACCAAAACACTGACATTTTCAGTCCTGTCAAACCATTAGACTTCTCACAAAAAATTCCATTTTTCAGTTTCACGTCATGCTCAGAATGTCTAGTTTTAGACACTTCCCAACATTCTCTATCGCCAAATTATTACATTTTGAGACACAAAAGAATTCAGATCATATTTACAATATTTTGTATTACTAAGAGCTATACGAGACTGACTGGAAATTAAATGAGAAGTCACCTAAGAACATGTAATAACTTTCTGGAAATTGCAGAAACATTCTGATGAAATTCTGGTCAAACACTATACCATTTGCAAACACTTCACATAAAATTCAGATTCATTTGCACTAACAATGAAATGCTTGAAGGAGTATCTTAACCTCAGTCCTACAAAGCAAGGTAAAAGACCTTCAGCTCATTCAGTGATTAACTTGCACAGGTCTTCTAAGAGTCACCTCAGTTCATACATGGGAGGTGCACCTGGATAGTCTAAGTTAGGATTGCAGCACCACCCACATAAACAGCAGCCACATATACTGACCTTGATCAGCACAAACAGCAAAGTATCTTAGTAAACAAATAGTGACATCATACCCAAATTTTTACCTGTTGCACATTTCCATAGATGGAAGCTTCTTCCATAGCTGTTATCACAATGTAAGGATCATTCATGAACTCCTTTATCAAGTGTGCTATATGTTTATTCCAGTGAGTTCCAACAGCAATAATCTGATGCGGTGAATACTGCCACTCTTCAGTAATCATGGCTTTCTTGTAACAATCTAATATAGTAAAAACCTATAAACAAAAAAAAGAAGTTTTTTCTTCTATCCTCTTATCCTATTCCAACAGGAGTGAAAAGCATGCTGTTTCAGGACACTTTTTTCCAGTCACAAAAACACCACCACAGCAAAACACAAATTTCACATCCCAAAATGAAGCATTTGGTTTGTGCATTTTTATCTTATTTGAAGGACTTCAGAAGCAAGAAGAAAACGACAGGACAGTATAAAGGAACAGCAAGTGCATGCACACAGGATTCTTCCCAGACAAGATGGAAATCTCAGGAAAAGGATCTGTTTCAAACTGTAAAACACTAAGCCTAGGCAAAAGCAGGTCCAATAAGTCAGAGGCAGTCAGCAAAAACTACGAGGCAAACAGAAGATAAGCCCAACCTGCCAATAGAGTAGTTTGAAAAAAAAAAAGGGGGGGGGGCGTGTGCACCATAAAATAACTTATTAAAAAATGAAAATCTAGTGATTTTCAGACAGAATGAATACATCCTGATGCATCACTTATGTGAGGTGATGTCATAAGTGACAAGCAATCAGCTGTGGAACATCAGGATTTCTGGCAAATCCTATACTAAGAGGTATTCTAGGGCTCTGGCACAATTCTAAGGGATCTCTCTCAACCTGGCACTAACCTTACCCATAGCAGCAATATTTTTAACAATGTAACATTTCCGTAACATAATGCTTTAGAAGAGCTACTATAGTCCGAACATCATCAAACAATCACTTCCACCTGAAAGAGCATCTCTTCCCACCCACCGCCAAGACTGACACTTCTGAAGATCCTACAAAACCGGCAGATACATGCACAGTATTTTACAAACCACCTTTCCCACAACCTTCATACGGTATACCTGCACTCCATCTCAAGAAATACAGGAACACAACAGAAAGAACAGCCTGAACAGAAAGAAGTAATGTCCCACTGGATAAGGATCACATTTCATCTAATTCATGACTTGAAATTTGCTGCTACAAAGGCACATCCAACAGCTTCACATATAGCAAATTGGGCAATGTATCTCCATTAAGAAGTTTCTCTAGCTTTTCCACAGTTAGAAAGACAGCTCCCCTTCAGTCTTCTCACCAAATTTTAAACAGGTAATATTAGTAAGTTAATGGTTTGAGAAAAACATCAATGACAGTGAAAAAAGCTTTTTTTGCACACTGATGACATAATACGCTGGAATACTAACAGAAAGCCTCTGTCCTATGAAGCCTCAAAGCAGTAATTAAAAAAATACAGAATTTTCTCAAACTTGAGTTTTAAGTCAACATGTAAAAACTGATACAATATATATACATCCTTGTAAACATGGAACTTAATGCTGTTCCTCTGCCAAGATTCTTTGACTTGCAATCAGCCTCTCCTTTTGCCTGCAGTATCGTTAGTGCCCCAGGAAAGTTTTAATGATTACTTCCAAGACTTTTTGATCATTCACTTCTGCCTTTCATTCTACAGAGACTGAGACGCTTATCAATAAAGACAGTTCTTGAACTGAAGCTGTTCAAACAGTTCTGTTAACAGGGAAAAGGAAGTTCCTTACAGACAGACGATGCAAGTCTTTAAAGTAGATTAAAGACCCCTACACTGAACCTATTGCTATGAAGTTATAAAAAAAAGCAAGTCCTTGGAAAACCATCCACAGCAAAGTCAGATACGACAACAGAGCAGTAGCATAAAACAGGAAAATACAGAGCTCGCTCATAAAAAAAATTTAACGGATTACAACTCTGCTTTTCTAGTGTTTCATTCTGCCAGAAGTATACAGATGTGATTTTTTTAATTCCGTTTTTGTCTCAACTTTACTACAGGGATTCAGGAAGGTTGTCTTTTTCAGTATGTGCCACTGTTTAAGACACGTGCACAACTGTCCATTTTACCAACTGAACACTTAAGCTGTTTACCTGTTCTGTAGCATCAGACAGCAGTACTTCAATCTCATCAAGAACAAGATGACAAAGTCTACAAAACAATAAGGTATGATGTTCAAAGAGTCTCAGGAGACTATATGGTGTAGTCACAATTACTTCACCTAGAAGTAGGAAGACAAGACTTCACATTAACTTACAACTTGAAAGAATAAGAAGACACCAGAGGACATGGTAGATTTATTAAAAAGGCCACATTTGCATTTCAGATGCATCATCTTGAAATCGGGGGGGCTTTTTTGGTTGGGTTTGGTGGGGTTTTGTTGTTGTTGTTTTGTTGGTTTTGGTCTGGGGTTTGGTTGTTTGGGGTTTTTTTTTTGTTTGTTTGTTTTCATTTTTTTAACTAGAGAACACTGAATTCCATTTTCTGACTTCTGGTCAACAGTCATTTTTTAGTTTGTTGGTATTTTCCACCTATGCATGTCTTCAAGACTCAAGTGGGTAAAACTATGAGTTTTTGAAACAGTGAAAGGTCTGAATATTAACAAGGTTACAAAGCAGGATGCCATCTCATTTTCTGGTAAGGTAATGGAAGTAGAGACAAAAACTTCAGAACAGATAAGACAGTAGTTAAATATTTAAATACATGCAAGGGCCACCTTTAGAAAAGTTCAGTTTTACAAATGGAATAAAGCACGCATTGTAGCTTAGATACCTACGCACATATGTGTGTGCATATATATGTATATAAAAATACAAACACACCAATTTTAATCTGTGCAAATATAGCAACGGTTATACTAATAGCAGATCTGAATTCATCCACCAGGCTCTTCAACTTGAACAACCGATGTAAGAATACAAACTGATGAAAGTTTTACACAGTCCTTCATAGTTTTACCCGTATTTCTTCGTTTCTTGGCAGAGAGAGCTGCTTTAAAAAAATGCAGCTATCAATTAAGGCTTAGCAAAAAGACCAAACAAGAATAATAAAATTAAGTGTTTTAAGTAAATACATGTAAGTAGGGCAAGTCTCCCAACAGCTCTTTTACTACTTCTATGCTTCCTCTTCTCTATGGAGTATCCTCTGCATACTACTGAAATTATATGCACAAATTACTTAGAATTTATTGCAATAAACAAGTTGGAAACCACCATTAAAAAAAAATTACTTCCAACTATATTTTAAAGTTGGGCATTTATGCAACTTCATCTGCAGAGAACTATTACCTCCTTTATAATCCTTCACTTTTCCAATATTCTTTTTCAAGGCAGAGAAGAAAGGTGTATATAAGCAGTACAGCAGCATCAAATGTGTCCCCCAAATATTTGTCAATTAAAAAAATAAAAACCATGTACTTGAAATGCTTATGTATTTGTTAAAAATACTTTTTAAGAACATACACATCTGCATTACTGTGGTGGGATGACTGTGTCTAGCAGCTAAAAGGCACACAGATGCTTGCTCACTCCCCCTGCCCCCAGCGGGACAGGGGAGAGAACAGGAATTGTCACAGTGAGAACACTCATGGGTCAAGAAAAAGCCAGTGTAATAAGTGAAGGAGGGAAGCGATGCAGAGGCAACCACTGGCAACATCCCACAAGCAGACAGATGCCCAGCCACCCATCAGATCATCCCCACCCCTCAAGTTTTTATTGCTGAGCACAACATTATACACTATATATATCTATATCATACACTGTATTATACACTATCACTTTGGTCAGTTTGGGTCAGCTGTCCAGGCTGTGTCCCCTCCCCGCTTCTTGCTCACCTCTGGTCTATTCATTGGGTGGTAGACTGGGAAAAAGAGAATTCTTGATGCCATGTAAGTGATATTCAGCAAGAGCCAAAACACTGGCGTGTTATCCACACTGTTCCAGTTACAAATCCAAAACATACCACCATACAGACTATAAAGAGAATTAACTCCATCCCTGGCAGACCCAGTACCTCTGTCCAGCAGAGAATGATCATGTATCAAAAAAAGCTATTATAAACTCTGGTTCTAAATCAAGAAACTCCACAATTAATCCTAATTCAGCATGATCTTCAGTAAATCCCTACCACTAATTTGGTTAAAAAATAATTGTTATGGAACTTACAAAAAAGATGCTGAACATGTAGATATTCGAACAACTTTAATACCATTAACTGTTAAATGGCACTATTGAAGCTGCATGTCTCACTGCAGAGTTGCAGCATTAAAGAAACAGAATTACCACTATACACAATAAAAAACTTCAGAAATATAAATTTCGTCTTTCACAATTTCCGGCAATTAAGGCAGCCCACGTTGTTTTTAAGCATAATTAAGAAGATATAAAGTATTCTTACATCCTCGGATTTTCACACTTCTAGCTTCTTCTTTGTTCTGCCCAAGCATTATCAACATTGGATGAAGCTGTCTGGAACATTTCTCATATGTTTTCAGTAGCTCGAAAACAAGTTGTGCCTTCTTCCACCCAGGACATAAAATAAGTGCTAGCGGCTACATACACATATACAAAATTTTACACCATAGTATTAGACAAGGGTTCAGAAGCTTAAGACTTAAACTACTTCAGCACTTAGGAAAAAAACAAAATCTGCTACACAGGCCTTTATGTACTTAAAAACTGAAGCTTTTAGTACTATATCACATCCTAAATGCAGATGTTACAGACCCAAGGAACCATACACCAGGTTATCTGGAGACAAAAAAGGAAGCATGCAGCAACATATAGTAAAAAGTAAAAAAACTTAACAGAAGCAGAAGGATCTTGTCTTACTTGGTTGTAACTAGGCAATTTTCAGAGGTCCCTTAGAACCTCACTAATTCTATGCTTCTGTGATCTAATACAAGTTAGAAAATCAATTACAGTATTTAAAACAGCTAATACAAATTTTAATGACTACATGCTATCCCCTTAAAAACAAAGCTTCATCAAGTATCACAGTGATATGACATGCACCACTGGTTAGATATTACTTGATATGTAAGTTGGACTCCCACGTTCACACAGTCCACCTCTGTAAGCCTCTATGCAGAGATATAAACTGGCAAGCAACATGAAAACACACTAAAATCACATTAAATGTATACATTCTCAACATCCACTGCCTTTTGGATCATTATTCTACATCTGCACTTCAGAACAAAAAACTGTTACCACTAACATGTACGTACCCCATTCCTGTTTGGCAAGGCTTTGTAGCAACTTCCTGACTGCAAAAATGTAAGGACTGGCGGAATATATAAGAAAGGATCGTTTCCCTGATAAGAGATGACAACTACATCACATCCTCGAGCTACTGGCGGCCAACAGTAAGATTCTGTGAAGTTAGGGCCTAAAATTTTTTTCCGAGTAAGTTCCTACAGAGAGACATATTAAGAGTTACACAAGAAAACTGTGTACTTAAACACTAACAAAACAAGACAAAAAGACAACACTGAGCAATTTAAAAGCTTTTGACCCACTACATAATAAATGTCCTTAACACACAATATGAAAGAGTTCTTCTGGGCTGAGGAGTTAAATTGTTATATTAAAATTCAAGTCCCATGACTTGTGGCAGTGGTTGATATAAAAGAATAAGTGTGTACAATTCTTACAGCATCCCTCTGAAGCTTCATTTATTCAACCATGTTAACAACTTCCTAGAGAATCAAAATTAGGTATTACTATAGTATTTAATATCTGAAGTTGGGGTATGATACTAGCCTTAAGAAGATATTCAGTGTGATGTATTACATTAGCATTACCTTTCTCAGATCATCAAAAAGTGGTGCTGTTTCCAGATTGGATGATGGCTCAATTTTGTTGCTAAGAAAGACGAAGTTTCTTTCTTCATTAAGGTTTTGAAAACTCTGAAACAGTATGACAAATAGATGACAATAGCGATACTTAACAAAAGGGTTTTAGCTTACATACAACTCAAAGGCATTTATTGTATTTAAAAAGTGGTATGTTGATGAAAAATAGCCAAAGAATCCGTAAATACATTTTAGATATGACTCATACATACTGGTAAGTTACACAGACCAGTGGTGAGAGAAATATTTATTAGTAGTATTTCTTAAGACAATCTTGATAAATTTTTCTTTAACACAACTGCCTTAAACCACTCAAGAGAATGCACTACATGTTCTGTGTACAGCTAGCACTCAGGTATAAAAAAGTCAAAATACAGTTAAAAAAACCAACTAGTAAAATTTACTGTGGTGGGTTGGCCTCGGCTTACAGCCAAGCACCCACACAGCCACTTGCTCACTCACTCTCCCCTTCCAGATGCATGGGGGAGAAAAACAGGGAGAATGAGCAAGAAGATTCACGGGTCAAAACAGAGACAGGGTTGTTACTGAACAGTTACTGATGCAGGCAAATCAGACTTAACTTTAGGTTAACTTAATTTGTTGCCAATTAATATATATTTGAGTACTGCTCTGGTTTTTGGGAAACAAAAACAAAGAAACAAAACATTTACACACTTCAGAGAAAAATCTTTCCATCCCCATTCCCAAGCTCAACTTCACTCCAAACTCCTCTCCTCTTATAATCAATGCAGGTTGCACTCAGTCCCACCACTGAGGCAATGAGCAGCGCAAGGCAGGGACTGCGGTTAGAACACAGCAGTTTCTATCCATTGCTCCTTGGCTCTCACTTCTTTCCTCTGCTCCAGCATGAGTCCTCTACAGACTGCAGTCCCTTCAGGTACACCTGCTCCAGCATGGAGCACCTCCTGCTCCTCTGACCTCTGCATTGCCTCTGTTTCTCACTTTTTTTTTTTGTTCCCCACTTTTTTTTTTGTTCCCTCCCCTGCATTTTTTGCCCTTTCTTAAATATATTTTTACAGAGGAACCACCAACTTGCTTAGCTCAGTTTTGGCCTGCAGTGAGTCTTGTTGCCAATGCAGCTGGAATCAGCCCCTGACCTCCTTCCACAAAGACGGAAGCCTGCAGCCCCCACACTACCAAAACCTTCTACATATACACAATACATTTGCACAAGAGAAGTTAAATGGAAGTTAATGTCTGAAATACCTGTTGGTCATCTTCAATTATGTGTGTCTTTAGAGGATCAGAATTTAAGAACTGCTGAAGCCTGAGAAACATTGAAATATTAAATCCAGCATGAATACAAAACTAAAATGTAATTTAAAAATACAAAAGCAACTTAACACGTTTAGTGTGCCAGAAAAAAAAAATATATATCTTTGTTGTCAAGCTACTGTTTAGAAAGAGCTGCTATTTTTATTGTAGTCTGGGTAAGTATCAGCAGCTTCAAATTCCCTTCTTCCCCAAAATCACGTGTGTGCATCTTCTCTTACCCTCTCCACTTTTAACTGCCTAAGAATAGTAACTGGAAACATACTACAGCTCCTAATTACCTGATTACATAACCATTTAAAACATTTAACATGCTGCACCATACCTGTCTGTGTGAACTGTTGCATTTTCCTTGCATGACAAACCTGGAATTGCTTTGACAATCTATCAAGAAAAGATGAACACATTTTTAACACAAAAATACTGTTTGACCAGCATATTAGAAAAATTACTTATTTAGTCTATTGAGTTGAAAGTGGTTTTATCACCTAACTCTAGGATTCTCCAAATATTTTGGAGATTTTTTGTACAAATTGTAAGTTTGAGTAAGGCAATAATTTTGATGCAATAAACTTCAGAAAAACTAACTTGTTTCAGAACAGTATTTTCTTTACTAAGAATCAAGTGTATGACAAGAATACCACCCACTAAAAAGAAAAATTAGGTCATGGTCACCTCTCAAGCTACAGTCGTAACCTACAGTTCTACAGGGACTTGAGCTAGCATGAACACATACTAATTAGTTTTTAAGTGTTTTCATTTTTAAAACAAAATTAAGAAAAAAAATCACAGATAGCCTGCACACCACAGACAGGAGAAAAAACAAGAACAGGGTACCCAGCTGCATGCTTACAAAGGCAATGCACATGAGCTTAAAGTGAAAAAACATTGCAAATCCTCTAGGGAGTAACCAGTAGCAGATACTGGATGCAGAGTTACCCCAAAGACGTATGGTTACAAACAGGGAATTTCTAGCATTCATCATTAGTCACCAGCAATCAACAGCCATGACTTGGTCAAAGACCTGCATCATTTAAGTGGCTGGTAAAGGTAATTCAGCTGTTTGCAGAAGGGTATAAAGGTAATCCTGCTCAGCTTTAGTAACAATCCACACTACTACTATCATCATTATTCTTTCAAAAATATTTTTAATAAGCTATTACGGTTTCAGTTCAGGAGTGGTTGTCATCCTTCAACTGTCAGCAGAGCTAAAAATAACTTCCATAAAACTCCTTTTTTTCCCCTGACCTGACAGAAGTAGTAGTTCCATTGCTATCACAGGAGCAAATTGCTCCTTTAAAGCATCTAGCAGAAAAGGACATGGAACAGCACACAGACTCTTGAAAAGTGCCAAGACTGGATACACTCAACGGTGATTATTTTCCTAGAATCTATTGGTTCATTTTCCTTCCCTCTCATGGATGTTGTAATAGTTCCAAATGTGCAATTCAGTACACAACTGCACACTCAATAAGCACTGACATTTTGAAAATGTTTCTGAAAAGAACAAGCAAAAAATCCCCCTAAAATAGCAAGAAACCAGACTAGACATTTAAAGTATTAGATGACTCCACAAATAAGAAGGGACTCCAATGAATGCTAAGCATAGTACAGCATAATGACTATTTTGTTTCCAGCGATCATCTTCATAAAACTATAGCAAAGGTGTGCAAAAAGAGGCACAACCTTTTCAAGGACTACTACTTTTTTTTTTTTTTAATTTCTGCAATTTAAAGAAAGAAACTGAAGTAGAATATTCCTTAAGTATATCAAGAATTAGTGCAGTCCCCCAGATCTGTTACATAGAAAACCAAGCTAGATGACTACTGTATTCCTAATCTGTCCTACATACATTTAATTTCATTCATCTTTGACAACTTAATATAAAATATAATACTCACAGACACAGTACTTTCATTCAGATCTCTGCTTGACCTTTGGTATGTCTCTTCAAGAAAGGAACTGGAAACAGCAAGACCTGGAAAGATTATGTAAAAAATGCAGAAACACATTTCTGATTATCTGACCAGATAAAAGGGCAGTATTTCTATGTACAGTGGGTTGCAACTGACTTTAGTTGCTTGCATCATTTCCTAACTGCAAAAAGAACAACCAAAAATAACTATCTTTACACAAAGATAACTACGTAGATGAACTGAGTGAACAAGGAGAATGGGAAATTGCATACTTCTCAGTAAGACAGACTCGAATCACTATAAATGGGACAACTCACGGCAAACATTAGTTTTAAAATTACCTCTGTTCAAGTAAATCCCTCCAAACTCAAACAGTAATGCATCACTGACCAATGCCACAAGTAATTTCCACGATATCTAATGCTATTATGCATTATCAAGAAATGTCCATGTAACTCATCTTCAGCCTTCATCTTACAAAGGAAGTACAAATAGTACAAAAAGTTTTACAGTATTCCTGCATCTGATGATTTGATTGGCGTCTGTAAAGTCTGATACATAAGCATCGTTTGTTAGGATACCATTTGATCCAATTATTGGATTTGAACCAAGACAGTACGTTCATGTTCAATATACTCGGTTAAAGACACATGATGGATTGCATGTACAATTGTTTCCAACACACATGGTTCCCACCTGTTTCAAGATTTCTTGATACCTTCTCCTGAAACAGCACTGGACTGAAAGCAACCGCAGGATTAACAATTTTCATTGGAAGAGACTTAACATTTGATGATGTTTGGTTCTCCTGATAATCTGCAGAACTCCCTGTATTCTCTTTAGCTTCCTCAAAACGAGCAAAATTCTTTGAAACAAGATCATCATTAACACACACCTAAAAAAAAAAAATCTTTACTGACCAGTATCAACAAGCAATCATCACCACATACTTGTTTATAATTTATTTGAAGCTTTAAACGACAGCAGCAAGATATACACAGTATCAGTGAATGCTTGCTGAAGAATGTTAACTCCAGAATAGCAAAGTCGGTCATATATTCCTGTATGTTCTCTAAACCGGTGCTAATTAGTTGTCAATTCCATGCTTCTGCCTAAAATTCTGTACTCAATTAACTTTTTCTACAAGCCCTAAAAATTTTTAAAAATCTGTCAATAAGTCAAGCTGGTTTATTTCTTTTTGATTCAGCATGCAAAATCCGGCAGAAAAGAACGTAATATTAAACCTAAAACTTCCTAAACTCCATTGGCTCAGAGATCAGTGACACTACTGCCAAATGGGATTCTGAACTCAGAGAAGATACTCAAATTCATACGTACCTTCAAAGTTATTGTCTATGGCAAAGACCAGCTTTGGTAAAACACTCCAAGTAGAAGCAGTATTCAAATAAATTAATTTGTATCCACCATACAGCTGCTTAAGGTCTGACAGTAGCTACAGCAGAGACTTAGCACAAGTTATGTATTTTGGCAAGTGGAACTAGTTGTTTGGTTTTCCCCCCCCCCTAAGGTTTGAGGACTCAGTCTTACACAAAAGCAAGTGTGAACTTCTATTTATTTTTACAATACTATGCAACTGGCTTACTGAAACAGCTTTAATGATACCATAAAAAGGTACAAGAGTGCACTAAATAATTCATATAGTTGTCCATTTGAAGTACTTGCTAGATTTCACTTGCTTACCAATACCTTCCAAAAAGAGGTTCACAAAGAAAAATGGTATTTCTGCTTCTTGGAATTCCTCCAGAAGTTTACAAGCAACAGAAATATAAAACAAAACCTCTAATAAGCTAATGATTTAGCTTCTGCTGTATCCGACAAATTACAAAACTCACTTGCAAGTAATGCTTTTCAGTCTTAAACTAATTGCAAAGCTCTAACTTACACAGCAAAGCACATGAACAGGTTTGTACATATAAAAGTATCTTACCTTTTCATCTTTTATTGTCACATACAGAAAAACATCAAATGTGTTACCTTCTACAGCACATAACTTGGCTTTCATTTGGGTAGTTGCTACATGTAGTAATAAACACAAAAACAAGTAAAAAGATTAAACCTTTACCAAATTGTCAGTATTTTTCCACTTGTACTTTCTGAGATAAACAAAAACAGAAATCACAGTTAGATGTATAATCTATTTCTTTAGAGAAGCTAGTACGAATGTAGTAACTTCTAAATGAAACTAGAAAGTAACAAGGCAATAAAAACTTAAGTTACAAAAGTGAAGTTGTCCATAGTCTTTGAAGGACGACCAAGAGCCAAAACAGAGTAATGACCTCTCAACACAAACTAGTCTTAGTTCTACAACAAAAGACAGTTTATATTTTAGCCTCTGACAACCTGTAGCACAAACAGACATTTTCCAAACTTGACATTCACTTTTATTTAAAGAAGTTGTATTTGCATATTTGTATAGCTTGGTTAGGCTCTTCATTTAAGCAAATTTAGCTGATAAAAGTCCATTAGCAAATTCTGAAGCACTTCTACATACACTAGTGATGTGCTAGCAATTAAAACAAATGGTACAGCCTGGGAATATCTGTGAAATTAAATTCAACATTATTATTGCTCCCTACTAACCTTTCCTTTGCACAGCAATACTCAGATTGGGGAGTGGGGAAGTAAACCATGAGAAGTGTTGCACTTATTGCGTGAAACTATCAGCCTAAAGACCCTTTATTGCTTCCATAAACTCATCCTCTCCTCCCCAAATACCTTTTAGGTGGAGTTTGTTATACTTGTGAGTAACCAGGTACTTTTTCAGGTAGAAGCATGTAAGCAGGAAGATTAGAAAAATCTCAGTAAAGAGCTGCTTTTCTAGTAATACCAATAACTGCCTCATACCAAGATAGAAGGCTTGATAGGAGAAAGACTGGATGACCTACTGAAATATCAAACATGGGAAAGGACAAGAACAATCTGAGGAAAAAGCAGTTCTAACTGCCCAATCTATTTGTTAACAACTATAATAAAGATACTCATCTTCTGAGCTGGTGCTTACATCCTTGTCAAAAAACAACTGTGAGAGGGTAAGCTCCTAAACCAGAGCTTGTCATCTCTGTACAAAACCACAAAAACACAGCTGTGATGCTGATTCAGAGATTTTAGCTAAACACACAGAAAAGCTCTGCTGTTAAAAAAAAAAAAAAGTTACATGAGTGCTACCTTATGTAGCCTGCCCAAGAGCCAGATACCATCTAGTCAACTACCAAAATTTATGCAGCATGCAAACCCACACTACTGATGCAGCTCCACAAATATTTTTGCCTTAATCCATACAAAAAACCTTATGGAGCTCCTTCCTCTTTATTGTTAATGTACAACATTCTTAAATATACTCAAATACATAAACACAAGTACTACATTTCTCTAACAGTTTATTTTTCCCAAAATAGAAGTGCCAATTACAATTTTGGCAGGATGTTTTATTTACCTTTGAGAAGGTTTTGAAAATACCGAGTAGCAGCACTATCCCATCTTTTGGCTGGTCTAGGAAAATAAACACAACCAGTTATTCCACATCATCAAAATTAAATAGTAATTTCTGAAAAAACTTCAGATGCACATGAAGAAATTATTTCAAGCCATGCTAAATCTTAAGTAGTGCACCAACTAGACACATTAGCAGAATCTTAATATTAAGAATGTAACTTCAGTCTTGACAATATTGTTTCAGCTCATCAATAAAGTGAACTGATAAAAAATTACTGGATATTGCTTTGTCAATGTATAAGGGCTTATATCCAACATAAAATACGATGGTTAGAAATGAAACAGAGTAACAAAAAAAAAAGAAAGAATCCATTTGTGGAACATATTAAATAGGTATTGAGCAATTTTGAACAAGTACTTAAACACTGAAGTGCCAAAGACTGAAAAGTCTGTAGCAGAAAATCAAGTTCACTCTTTACCATCTTCTGCAACTTTAAGTAAAAAATAAAAAACAAATCAAATGAAAAGCACTGTAAACAAAATATGACAATCCGCTACTTTTTTGATAATTCACAATGATGGTCCACTCAAGTTGAATGTTATTCCTATCCAAACCATGCTAACATTTGTTCTGTCAGAATATTGGAAGTCAAATACTAATTTCTTCTTCCAAACAAGAGTATAAAAAACCCCCCAAAACTGCTTGACCACATGTTGTTTTGAATATTCTTTAATGACACAAACCAAAGTAGCTTTCCTGCTGTGGAGCTGTATACCCCAGTGATGTAATGATGTCCCTCTCAAGTTGGTAGGATCTTTGACAATAGCATCCTGGAACTCAAGGATACAAAAGCATTTTTCTTTATTACCAGACCCCGGTGAAAACCTTATTCAAGTCCTTCAAAACTGCAGTGAGAAAACTGACATGAACGTAAGGAAAGCACTACAGGAAGCCAAAATATGTCAAGAAAAAGACGACAGAATGGGGAAAAACAGAGCTACCTATAAACAGCTATGGAACTTCAGTTCAGATAAGCATGTAACTACCACCAAAAAAAAAAAAAAGAGCATCAGGAGTAAGAGGAGCTACCTGTAAAAAACAGCACATAGGGACAGATCAGTAATAAAGTTCATGTGCTAAGAATCAAGAAACACAGCTCTGGGATGACAGACAAAGTACAATAACAGCTCGAAACTTGTTTAAGCTTCCAAAGGTTTTTAAGTAAATATCAAAAGATTCAAGCAGGTGAATAATAAACCCCAAATGATTACGGAAGAATCATTAAGGAAACAGTTCTATTTAAGAACTGCTCCTCTGAAACAGAAACAATTTTCCAAATATGATTTCCTATGTCCTTCTTGAAACATAATCTCTTCTAAAAAAACCTTCTGCAATAAAACATCACACTTAAGAAATTTATGAATAAAATACATTTATTAAACTCTACTTACACTATTTTTGCAGTATCTTCACAAAAGTCAACACGCAATGTCACTGGCTTTGTGCGATACAGTCTACACTTTTTTGCTCTATATGGGATCTGCATAAACACTTCCATTGCAACTCGAATGCTTAAAAACAAAGCAGAAATAACCTCATGTTACAGAGCAGATTTTATTCTCCAGAAGTCATTGGTCTCATACACATCCTTCCGTTACCCTGTATCTGACAACACAGTTTTTGCAGTCATTTGGCTCCCACTGTGAAACATCGTGGAACAATTGTTTTATTTCTCCCTCTGGGAGACGTGCTACCAGGAGCAATGAGTGAACTGATTTGCTCTGGATATGAATACACTTCCTGTTTACTTGAAATCTTTCTGATCCTTCACCACTGCAGTTTGAAGTCTTTTCACGATATTTAGCCCTCATACTACCACATACACCACTTGGAACTGCATATTCCATTTTGCAGTTATTACTTCTGTGTGAGAAACTAGGTATGATTAACATCAGCAAGAAGGAAGTCTAATAAATACACTAATTTGCATTTCTACTCATTTTCCTAGAAAGAATTTAGTCTTACATAAAGCTGGACAGGGCTCTGAGCAACCTGATCTAGTTGAAGAGGTCCTTGCTCAATGCAGGGGGGTTGGACTAGATGACCTATAAAGGTCCCTTCCAACCCAAACTACTTTACAATTCCATGATTCTATCACTAGAGTGATAATCTTATCCTTTACACTTGGTTTGATTGGAGACTTCTAATAATCAGCAAGACACCGTATAGAGCAAGCTTTTAAGATCCATATATTCATCACTTCTGTTCAAATTTTTATTTTACAATGAAAAAGCAGTAAATCATGCATTCAATTCTAGTTGAACATAATTTTAAACTCAGGGCACTGTCAAGTTCTTTTCCAATACAGCAACGTTCAATTTAAAGACATTACTTAAGACTTATTTTAAAATATTTTAAATAGGCTTTCTTCATTTTGTTGAATACTACAAAATAACATTTGATAAAGCTTCTTGTACTCAGAGTCGCATGTTTCATTAAAGAAATTTATTTTTAAATCTAGCTAAGGACTGGAACAGTTATTTTTTAAAACACACTTTGCAAGATTTTAGAAACAGAAGATTTCATAGTGGTTTTATTAAAAACTGGGAACCAGTGAAAACTCACCTTTTTTGTACCATGCTAAGACAGACTGTCAGCTCTTAGTAAAGTAAACAAGCTAGTAATCTGCAGTGGGAAAAAACCCTGCATATTTATGCCTAGATGTCAAAAGCTGGTTCAGCAACTGAAACCTTGCTTCCATATATGCTTTTTGAATGCTCTTCACTGGTTATAATTTTCTAATTTTTTTAGTATATAATTACTTAATAAGGGAGGAAAGTGTATATAACTAATGTTAACTGGCAATCATATATTTTAGTCACAACAAGCTGCCATTATTTCATTTTCAAATCTTTAAAAAACCAAAACCTACAATAGAAAGCATCTTTAAAAATTCACAAAACAAAGACTGGTTTGCACCCACACTTGCAAGGGCCTATCATATGGCTAGCAGTTTCCCAACCCACACCTCAATTAAATCAAAGCCTTGCCACTATCAATCTAAATAAATATCAACAGTATTTGTATGTATTAACTAACAAATACACTTCAGTGACAGTATAAAAAAAATCACTTACTCCTTTGGTTTAACAAAAATGTATTTGGCATAATCCACAAGAAAACATTCTGTTTGATAATGATCTGTACAGTACATGATTGACTTAATAACTGCTCTACACCAGCATTTGAGTTCCTCACTGAAAACCACACAAATCTGAAAAAGAAAGAACAAGACAGTGGGTTCCTATAAATGGAACAAATTACACTCAAAAATTTTTTTAAAATAATACAGTATTTATTATACCGCCCTTTATATTCTTTTTAAAATGCAAGCCTTGCAACTTATGTAACTATGGAATTTACAGATAAGAAGATGTAAGCCATATAACAGATAAGAAGATGTAAGCCATATAGATGCCTACATAGCAATATCAAAAAAAGATCAATGTGCATCTTGGATATTTCACCCCCAAACCACTGTAAATAACCGATTCTTTGTATCTACACACTGTATCAGTGAATTTACCTGGCCTTCTTCTACCATTAGTGGTTTTACTTCATCCACATCTTTGTAAGATTTGTCATAGAACTGATTCATTTCGGCATTCAGGTTTTTATACTCTATTTCATCAACTGTGTAAGGCCCACATCCTTTCATAGTAACCCAAAAGCAACCTGGATCTTCAATCTGGATCAAAGTGTAGACAACAATAACAAATACTATTAGCCTCTGCTAAAATGATAGGCTTTTTTTAAGAACATCCGAGCAGCAAATGTAACAACAAAACCTAAAATCTTTAGTGACACACCTTAAAAATTATGGTGACTGATACTTAACATACAGAACATTAACAAGCAAAACATTTTTCAACTTCAGACCATTAGTTCATTAAATGACTTCTCAGCTTGCAAGTTTCTTTAGCGCTGCAATTAACAGCATGCATAGTCTAAAAGGTAATAGTATTACCTAAAGAGTTGAATAAACCAAACAGTGGATGAAGTGCAAAAACATAAAGCTTTTTACTTCTGTATCGTCTTCAGGAAGTGTGTATAAAAAACCCAAAACAAACCCCACCAATGGGCTTTTCTTCATGCTCAGAGAGTCTCCAAGACACTCAGTTTCTTTAAAAAGGGATCATAGATTTCTGCTCAGCCTTTGTAAACCTTCGTATCACAGTCCTTCAGCTCATCTGGGTCCCCAGTTGTTGTGGGTTAATGCCCATAGGCAGCTAAACACCTTGCAGCTGCTCCCTCACTCCCAGGCAGTGGGATGATTGAAGGAATTGGAAGGGTAAAAGTGAAAAACTTTTTATAGTGAGTTGATATAAAAACCAGCTGAATAGGTAAAGCAAGAGCTGCACACACAAACAAAGCAAATAAGGAATGCATTCACTGGTTCCCATTGGCAGGCAGATTTCAGCCATTTCCAGGAAAACAGGGCTTCATCACGTGTAACACTGGCTTGGAAAGACAAATTCAATAACCACAGATAGCCCCCTTTTCTCCTCCTTCCCTGCAACTTTTATTGCTGAGCATGACATCATACGGTATGGAATATTCTTTTGATCAGCTGGGGTCAGCTGTCCTGGCTGTGTTCTGGGGAAATGATTTTTCCATTATCTCTTGTGGGATTCAATAGAATCTAGTACTGTACTGCACTCTACTTACGATTATGTTGCACATCTCCCATTTTAGATTTTAGCTGCATCCCTACTGGTGTCTTTTGAGATGAAACCAATATAAACACTTAAAAGAAATGACAACACATATAAAATCCATATTGACCCCACATGTGTAAGAAATTGCTGCTGAATGGAAATACAGGGGCATCATCTTATTTGTAAATCTGACTTCCAGAAAGTTGCATTGAATTAAGTGAACTGCATTCCTTTAAACTTTAAAACCACCAGCATACCGCTAATACCAAGACTTCCATGTTTCTCAGCTACAGTCTTCCTTAACACTGCTGTAAAAGAACAACAAAAGTTTGATTAACCATTTTTAAAGCCGTCATTTGTTTTGAAGCATATTTAAAAAGCATACACCTAAAGCAAACCTATAGACTTTTGCTACTTGTCTCAGGAGTATTAGTCTAGGCACCCGATTTACACATATCTAAGGGTTCAAACCAGTCTTCTTAATGAAGCACCACGTTAAAGCTTACTTCAGATGTGCCATCCAGATTTATTTACATACAACCACATCAATTTTTAATACACTAAAACATACCTGCTATCCTCAACCTACTTACAGTACATAGCTGCTTATCCTACATTCAAAGACCGACAGAAATAGGCTGATTGAAGACAAGGGCTGCTACAGTCTATCTACGTGGCCAAATGGACAAGGAACACCAGAGGGAAATGCTCACATGATTTAAAAAAACCCCAAAACTAACACACAAGAAGAGTCCCAAACTTAGCAAATAATTTTAACACAACAGCTTTTTACCAGTATTTCACATTACATTCATCTGCAATGGTACACATCATACCTAGGAATTACAATGGAATAATAAAGTACCTACAGACTGAAGTAATTTGCATTTCCTTTTGGCACAAACCAGCACAAGATCATCACTGCAGTGTCTAGCTTACCACTTAAAAGAATTCACACTAGAAGCAGGTGCCTAATAAAATGCTTTGGAAAAGGCAAAACATTGGTCTTCCACTTCTAAAACTAGCATTGAACAAGCCAGCACTAAATAAGAAGCAATGCAGCTACACCGTGGTCATAACTAGCAACATGCTTTGCTAAGAGATGGTATGAATTATTCGCAGTTTGACTTTAAAATGAAACAGCTGAAACTACTTTAGAAGCTTTACCTGATATCATACAACACAAGCATACCATTCAAGTTACACGTAAGTCTCTAACACTGCCCTATAACATACTGTAAAATGAGATGTTGCCTTAGACACTTCAAAAATACACATTTTTATTTCAGGAATAACATATGAGAGGCATAAACAATCTCTCCTAATCTCTCAGTTTGAGAAGTGTAAAACCAATAAATGATCTATCAAAGTATCAAGGATAAAGCACACCCATGTAAAAGGAATACATTAGGAGAGCTGCCCTAATAACAACATACCCACTTTGTTATTAAGAACTAAATGAGAACGCAAACATTTGCTCAAATCCCACATCCAATGCTAAGGGTATTTACCTTGTAAAGATGCAAGGGGTCACCAAAGCCCTCACTCCCAACTACTACGTTGAGAAGGACATAACAGGAGAAGGTAAAAAGATGCCTCTCCAGCAACACAAGACCGACGCAAACACTCCTAGAAAAACCAACCAACTACTCGCTATCCCTGCCTCTCTCCCTCTAGTCAGTCTTACTCCATTTAAGAAACCCACCACTAACAGACACAGTACAAAGAAAACAGAGCACAGTAGGTGAAAAACTTCTAAAAACCTGTATTTTCTGCTTTACCGCACCCCACCTCCTTCGTATCCTACCATAGTTTCACGTTGTTCCTCCTAACCTAAGCCACCAACATCACCACAGCCGAGAGCACCCAAACGCAGCCCTACCTCTTTTTCGATGCTTCCAGAAACAGGCAGCCCTCCCGCCTCCGAAGCCACGCCCAGTGCGCAAGCGCAGTTCCGCCCAGTGCGCATGCGTACGCAGGCCGCAGGCTCCCCTGAGGCGATGCGCGCGCTCGCAGCTCCGCCTCGTGTTTCCTGCGCGTGCGGCGTGGCGGGCTGAGGTGAGGAAGTGAGAGGTCAGAGCACTGTAATGGCGCGTTCTCGGCTCCTTAAGTGTATTGTTGTGACAAGTGAGCCTGAAGGGAGAGTCTTGCCTTTCTGCTGTTTCTGCCCCGGGCGCGGAGGGGCAGGGCTCGCCGCGCAGCACTGGCGGCGCCTCAGGTGGAGGAGGGAAGGGGCCGGGTAAGGAGGCGGTGGAGCAGCTGGAAGGCAGCGGCCTGGAGTTGCTCCTGTGGCGGTGTCTCCCCGACGCAGGGTCGCATCCCGCACCGTGAGGTGATATCGGCCAGGGCTTCTGCGGCACGGTTTTATTCCAGAGGCCGCAAAGTCGGAAGTGGAGCGTATTGTTGAAAGGTGTGCAAGGTTAGGCAGGTGGGGAGAAAGAGCACCTGCCATTTCTCTATCGGCGTTCAGTCATGCTAGTTAAACTTACACATACCCACAACAGAAAACAGCTATTGTAAATGTCCCATAGCATTTAGGCCTTAAAAAAAATGTTACTTCACTCTAGTATCTTAAGTTCTGTGATAGAGCAGCCACTTTTTAATTTTTTTAATTCATCCTGTGTATACTACTCTTTCCATGCAGACTTTAAAAACAAAAAGTGTTCCAGGCCTGATTTAGTTTTGTGCAAGGCTGCACAGACAAAGAGCCAGCCTAAGAGAAGGGCATGAAACATGCAGCTGGCAAATAAGGCCCACCTCTTTGGACAGAAGCCCATACTTAAGAGTGGCTCGGTACTTTGAAATTACAGCTTTAATCATCACTATTTTTAACTTCGTATTAAAAGATATTTACTGTATGTTTATTTGAAACCAGTTATTTAGCAATTTATCGTTACTTTCTTTGTAAAATAGTGTATTTTTGTTACTTTTTTTGTTTTGTTACTTTTTGTCCTTTGGCCTTCAAGCTCCCTCTGCTGGACCATTTTGCTTTTGTGGGTGGAGAAAAAAAAAAGTTACAGGAGACAATCGAAGATGGAAATGCAGACTGTTCACCTAAGATGCGGATTTAGTATTGAGTTGACTCTTTCTGACACACAGCAAAACTGATATTAGAATTAAAGGCATAATGTACAGCAACATGCAGGTGTGTAAAAACTTCTGTAAGAATAACCTGTGTCTAGGTTGCTGAATCATTTATTTCCTAAAAAGATTTCCTCCTAATAGTTACCTTCCACCATGAAAGTAAACTGGTAGAACAACCATAGGTACAGAACAATTAAAAAATCATCAAGGAAGCTCTCAGGCAACTATGAAAGACTATATTGCAAAATCTAAGCTGTTGCAGATTACATGATTTCTTTATTTTTTGTATTTTTTTTACATATATGTGGATTTTTTTGTATATTTGAATTCATGACCTCAGTGAATATGGACCAGATGAAGAGTAAAGTGAAGACCTTGAATTTTAGGAGAGTGAACTTTCAGTTGTTTAAGGAACTTGTGGATGGGAGCCCCTGGGAAACTGCCCTCACTGATAAAGGAGCAGAAGAGAGCTGGCAGCTCTTCAAGGATGTTTTTCTGAAAGTACAGAAGTTCTCAATTCCCCTGTGTAAGAAATCGGGCAAGGAACGCAGGAGACCAGCATAGCTGACCAGCTTCTGGTCAAACTGAAATGCAAGAAATAAATGCATAGGCACTGGAAGCAGGAATATGTATCCATAGGGGAGAATATGGGGATGCTGCCGTATCCTGCTCAGATGACTGACTTTGCCCATTATAAGGAAATAACTGAATCATTTTGAAGCCAAGATACTTGTTACTATAGACACCACAACTATGATCATAAGCACGTCTTTACCTCATGTCTTTCTAGTACTAGTGGCCAGTGTTAATCTCAAAAAGCTAAAAATCATGTAACAGAGCAATACAAGGTACTTTTGCTTCCTCTATTCCACATTTTCTTAATTTTGCTGTTGTCTTCATGTTCATAGGGGTTAGCCAGAATATTCTGAAGGAGATACTATATTGCATAATAAACCATATACATAATATCTGCTTCATATGATCCGTGTTTAGTAGAGGTGTACAAATTTCAACAAGGTCTGTAAAACCAAGAACAGTCGGAGCATGTTCAGAGAGAAGAGAAGGACACTTTTTTCAATCCAAATGAATGCTACAAATCAATTAAATTTAATTAAAATATTGCATAAGGTTTTAATTGAAATACAGAACAAAAGCTGAAACAAAAGCTTTCTGAACAGCTTTACTGGCTAATCTCAAGTCATCAGTCATTCTTCTTCCAGATAAAGAATAACTTGAATCACTGCTTCATTTCCTCCATTTAAAAAGACTTCATTTACTCCATAAAAAAGAAAACCAACCAACCAAAAATCCAAAACAAAAAAGCAAGCAGCAATCCTTCCTCTGTTCTTAAGTTCTTAAATCTGAGATAAATTTGGTAAAGTAGTTGAGAAGCAAAATGTGGGATGTTGAAATATGGAAATAGATGTTTCCAAGGTAGTATATTATTCCCTGAAGTTGTTGGTATCTTTTTGGAGCTAAACAATTTATTTTTCTATTTTTTAAATTGCTGACAACTTGAAGATAAAAATTATCATGAGTAAAAAGAACGTTGGGAATGCACTCAATCTGATAGATGACTTTTGTCTAAATCATCTCTACCTTTGAAAATTGTAAAGTTTTTAATAGATTACCATTAGCAGAAAAAATTTATGTATATAGAATATAAACATCAACTTCATAATAATTGTTTTTAAAAGTAAGTTTTAGCTAATAAGTCCATATATACACATATACACTGGTTTTCCCAAAAATGAAAGGGAGAATAGACTGAGATATGTCAGCAGATATAGAATGGGAGATTTCATTCATTCCTAGACACGTATTACAGTTGTCTAATGGATAACTTTGGGAGGCATAGTAAAAGAATTCTTCAACTCAAAACATACTTGTTCTAAACATAATACATACTTAAATTTTCAGTGAGAAAAGGACCTGTGTGACCCAACAGACCAGTGTTGCAGCACATTCTGCAATTAGTAAGTAGAATAAGGTGGTAATGGCTCAGTATAATTACCATCAAATCATATTTAAGTTAATTATTGATTAAGTTGATGATTATGTTGAATTTTCAGTAGCCTCTAAGCATTGTAACTGGTACAACTGTGCTGTTTCAAAGACTCAAAGAATTGGGTACACATAAATCTCAGACCACACACACAGAATTCTTTGGCAGGACAAAGGAATATTTTCCTGACTATTTGGCAATGGTTAGAAAGGACCACCACAGTGAATATGTATGTAATTAAAAATATTCTAGCTTTAAACCAAATGGGTATTATAATCTGCTATTGTAATCTGAACAGTCAGAGTTCATCATCAGTGGATTCATATGTTTATATTTTGCTTGAATATTAACATAGACAGCAAGATTGTTGATGTTTTTTATTACTATTCTATGAAACACACTACCCTCTTTCATGATATCTTCAACCTTCTTATCTGTTGACATGATTATTTTCTCTTCTCCTGTATAATCTGGATCTTCTGGATATAACTCATCTCCTGGGGGCAGGAAAAAAGTTTTAGTTATAAATTGCCTACCTTACTTTTCAGCATTTTGATTGAGAAACACTAGCAATTTTTTAATATTTATCAGGACATGAAACTCAGTGGGAATGTATTTCACAATACAGAAGTAAATTGCCTCTGAACATATTCAGATTTAAAGATAGAGCTATAAATTTGTGAAGTATGTCAGTGATGCTGCAGTGTACATTTGAGGTGTTGATTTGAATGTTTCCGTGTTCCCAATAACACTAATAGGCTATAATCACAGCATGGTCGATATGAGTTTATATAATTGGTGGAGAACAAGACAAATTCCAAGTGTATAAAGATAGGCTATGGTAGGACTAAGAATAGAAACTGTTCCTTTCTTCTGTTCTGTTGAAAAAAACAGTGCTTTGCCATATAAATGCATGTTACTCTTGTACAATAGTGCTAATATACCACAAGTACAGAAATTCTAGAGGTCAATAGTGACAAAAAAAGACAGGTGAAAGCATAGCTAAAAGCAAACTAAAAAAGCAGAAAATAATAAATACATGCAGGCAAAAAAGTACATGATTATGAAATGAGAGAGACTCAAGTAGGAAAAAGGACAGGAGGGAAATTAATTCATGTATCTTTGTAGGTCACTGCCCTGTCACTACAATTGCGAAGGCTGATACTGCAGCAATGCTTGATCCACTTGCCTTTACAAAGATGGGTAACTGAAGTAAATGAGAATTCCCACTGAAAAGGACTATATAGGAGGTGTTCTAATACATCCTTCAGATAAAAAAAGTTGAAATGCTGGAATTTCTTAATAAACATATTAATGACAACCATATGAGACAAGGATTATGAATAAGCACAGAAATAACTCCGCTGTCTCTCCGACTCAGTAGCATGTCTCTGACAGTAGCCATTATCAACTATTTCAAAGAAGGGAGTCAAACAGTAGAAAAAGTGTGCAGTAACTTGACTTAAAAGAATATTTTCCTTGCAGTTATAGATGGGTTTGCCACGTAGCTTGAGTATGTATTAATTCCCAAGCTTTTTAATATGTAAAAGACCATTGGTTTTCTTACCTGGCAATAGCTGAATGTAGCCATCTGAGGCAGTTAACAGCACAGGCATCCAACGTTCACATCCCTCTAGAGCTCGATCCAAGCTGAACTGGTGTAATTCATGGAGTGAACAGAAGTTGCACAGTCTACACAACTCATAGAACTGAGGTGGAGCAAACCATATTTCTTGAGATTTGAAGCGTTCAATGGCTTCTGGAGGTGATGACCACTAAGATGAAAACAAGCAGATAGAAAGTATCAGTAACTTTAAAAGCCATTACCAATGAAGTCTTTACAGAAAAACAGCTTGCCACAGTCCATGTTTTCTGAACACAATAAAAACCATGTATAAACTATACCAAAATAACAACAACAACAACAACAAAAGAAAAATGTAATAAAAGCCATCTATAAAAATTACTTTTTCCTATAAAAATAAGTTTTTATTCTACACATAGGTAGGCCAAGTTTGGAAACGGAAATTGAGACTGGTTTTAGGGACCTGGCTAAAAGTCTACTGAAACCTATAGAAAACCTTAAACTGAATGTAAAGTCAGTTTAGAGGTTGCTACTGATGCTTCAAGGATTAAAAATACCTCTAAACATATGCTTCTTGTAGAAACTGCTTCAGAGCATGAACACTCAGCTATTCATGCTTAAACACTGCGTTGTTCTGCATGTTTAAACAATAGTTTAAATAGTAACCTTCATTTCATCACAGATGGTGAATTTAATAATATAACTGTGTGCATAAACATTTGCAGTAGATTTATGCAGTTACTAACAAAATTATAACAAACATGAACTCTTTTAAAGATAAGATCTCAGATACATTTAAATTTCTGTAGCAATACCTGTTCAAAAAATAAATGCATCAGTAATACCAAAATCATGAGGTAAACTTTTACAGAACTGTCTGGTTTCTCACTGACTTCTAACTTACTTTCAAACTTTTCAAACGTAAAGACCCTAATGTGCCTGACCCTGAGCTGTTCTTACGAAGTTTCTTTATGAAGTTTTTTGTTCTTTTACCCCCTCCAGTTGAAAAAAGAAGGTAATAAAATCAATACAGCTCCAAAAAAGCTTTTGATAATACAATATTTAAACAAGCTTGTATGTTACTTAAAATACTCCAAGTAACCACAAAAGACAGAAATTATTAGTAGGTCTTGCAGCCATGGAACACTTTGAACGTGCCACATGGATCTCTCCAAACGTACTGAACATTAAGGGCATAATGGCAACGCTCCAATGAAAACTGCACGAAAGAATGTATAAAAAGTGATTACTTGTCATCCACCTTGGAAAGATACGGTAATTCAGGGTGAAAGTGATCTGACGTGACACACATCCTATGCCATAAAACTTCATGTAAAAAGACCTTCAAGAAACACCCTCTTCTGCCAGCAGTTACAGCTGCAGGATGGATTAAAGAGGGCCGTGGCCGTTACAGATTGGAAGGATAGATGTACAGGGAAGGGGGTTACCATGAAGATGAAAACTCCCTTCCCCTTTCTCACGTCTGAAGGGAGCGTTATCAGGACGGCTGCAGAGCCGGACCTTTGTCCGACTATTTAATCTGCAGGGAACACACCAGGGGCTGGGCGGCGAAGAGGCGGGCAGCTCGCGGCAGCAGAGACCCTCCCGCTCGTTGCCGGCGGGACGCTCGCACGGCTGGACCGTGCCGAGGAGCGCGGTGAAGCCCAGGCGCTGCCTCCTGCGCCAGCCCTGCGGC